CAATTAGAAACTAAACATACACTGAATGAAATAAAAAATATTATACAGAGACCCAACAGCAGACTAGAGGTATGCAAGAATCAGATCAAAGATTTGAAATACAAAGAAGCAAAAAACACTCAACAGGAAAAGCAAAAAGAAAAAAGAATCCAAAAACTTGAAGATAGTGTAAGAAGCCTCTGGGACAACTTCAAGCATACCAACATCAGATTTATAGGGAGTGCCAGAAGAAGAAAATCTATGGGAAGAAATAATGACTAAAAATGTCCACCACCTGGTGAAAGAAATAGACTTACAAGTCCAGGAAGTGCACAGAACCCCAAACAAAAGGAATCCAAAGAGGACTACACCAAGACACAAAATTAAAATGTCAAGGGCAAAAGACAAAGAAAGAATATTAAAAGCAGCAAGAGAAAAACAATTACCTACAAGGGAGCACCCAAAAGATTGTCAGCTGATTTCTCAACAGAAACTATGCAGGCCAGAAGGGAGTGGCAAGAAATATTCAAAGTGATGAAGAGCAAGAACCTACAACCAAGATTACTCTACCCAGCAAAGTTATCATTCAGAATTGAAGGTCAGATAAAGAGCTTCACAGATAAGATAAAGCTAAAGGAGTTCATCACTACCAAACAAGTAGTATATGAAATGCTGAAAAGTATTCTTTAAGAAGAGGAAGAAGAAAAAAGTAAAGATAAAAATTATGAACAAAAAAACATATCTATCAACAAGTGAATCTAAAATTCAAGTGAATTAAAAGTCTGAGGAACAGAATAATCTGGTAAATACAATAGAATCAGGAGCATAGAATGGGAGTGGACTGGTAATTCTTAGGGGGAAAGGGACTGTACGATTTTTGTCCAGTCTCTTCCTATACCTGAGGGGTATAGGAAGAGACTGGAGAAAAATCGTACACCTATGGATCGTACACACAGTGGGGGGAGGTAAGGGCAGAGGGTGGAGTGGGAACTGGGTGGAGAGGAGCTATGAGGAGTAAAAGAATCAATTGTAATAATCTGAACATTAAATATTTATTAAATTTTTAAAAATCCCTAGAGGAAATCTATTCTCCTTGCCCATCAAGGAATCTGACATCATTGAGTTTTACTTGAGGGCATGTCTCAAGGATGAGGTGTTAAAGATCATGCCTGTGCAAAAGCAGACATGTGCTGGCCAGCAGACCCGGTTCAAGGCATTTGTCGCCATTGGGGACCACAATGGACATGTTTGTCTGGGTGATCAGTGCTCAAAGGAAGTAGCCACTGCCATCCGTGGAGCCATTATCCTGACCAAGCTCTCTATTGTCCCTGTGCAGTAAGCCTACTGGAGGAACAAGATCAGCAAGCCCCACATGGTTCCTTGCAAAGTGACTGGCAGGTATGATTCTATATTGGTGTGCCTCACCCTTGCCCCGAGGATTACAGGCATTGTCTTGGCCCCTGTGCCTAAGAAGTTGCTGATGATGTCCAGTATTGATGACTGCTACACCTCGGCCAGGGGCTGCACTGCCACACTGGGCAACTTCGCCAAGGCCACCTTTAATGCCATCTCTAAGACCTCACCCCGAATTCTGGAAAGAGATTGTGTTCACCAAGTCTCCCTATCAGGAATTTACTGTCCCACACCCGAGTTTCTGTGCAGAGGACCCAGGTTCCAGCTATGGCCACCACATAATTTTATACAAGAAAAATAAAGTGATTTAAGCCTGCTTTAAAAAAAAAATTTTTTTAAAGATCACCTTAGCTGGTTTGGCTCAGTGGATACGTTGGCCTGTGGACTGAAGGGTCTCGGGTTTGATTCCCTGTGGCTTGGTCCCCTGTGGTGGGGGAAGAGAAGGGAGAGTGGAGGTGGCATGCAGGAGATAGCCAATTTTATTCATTTTCATATTATAATTCTCTCTCATCGATATTTTTATCTCCCCCACCCCATTTTCCTCTCTGACATCAATGAAAATATTTTTTCAAAAAATTTAAAGATCAACAGAGAAGAGTTAAACAATAGTATTAGTAATGCTTCAGAACATTATTATGAAAGGAATGAACAATACCATTTTTATTTTTAAAACTGTTATTTGAGGTAATTTAAATGAATATGAATGTAAAAAGTACACAGGATGTAAGGTACTCATCACCCATATTCAACTATCATCTATTCATGGCAAAATTGTTTCCTTTCCAGACCTCCCATTCTCCCCAACTGTGGATTATTTTGGAGCAAATCACAAATATCATATGATTTTATCCTACCTAATAAAAGAGTAATATGCAAATTAACCATCACTCAGTTCAAGCCACGCCCAGCAGCCAATCAGAGCGAGTATGCAAATAAACCCCAACCAAGATGGCTGCAGCCACAGAGAGCAGTTGAGAGGCTTGGGTTTCCCCAGCAACAGAAGCCAAGCTTTTCACCTGCCCTAGCTGGCCTAAGCCTCCACTCAAGGCTACAAAGTTTCAATTATACAAGATACATGAACCCCAACAGAAAAGGCAGCAGCCAGAGTGAACAGGGGGCTTGGCTCCGCTCCAGGCTATAAAGTTTCAATTGTAGAAGATAAATTCCAGATAACAGGGCCTCCGCTTGGGTTTCCAAGGGTGGGGGTGGGTGGGGGGTTGGCCTGCAAACTACCACAGGCCCCTTGCCCAGGTTGCCCACGCCCCAAGGGAACCTCCACCCTGATCCAGGTCACCCTCAGGGAAAATCAGGTGGCCTCCCCCCATGCACCAGGTCTCTATCCTATCTAATAAAAGAATAATATGAAGATTGACCATCACTCCAACACACAAGATGGCTGCCCCTATGTGGTCAAAGATCCTGCCCTTATGTGGACACAAGATGGCCACCACAAGATGGCCAGCAGGGGAGGGCAGTTGGGAGGGACCAGGTCTGCAAGGGAGGGCAGTTGAGAGGGACCAGGTCTGCAAGGAAGGGCAGTTGAAGGCGATCAACCCTTTAGGAGAGGGCAGTTAGGGGTAGCCAGGCCGGCAGAAGAGGGAAATTGGGGGCAAACAGGCTGGCAGGGGAGCAGTTAGACATCAATTAGGCTAGCATGGGAGTGGTTAGAGGGTGATCAGGCTGGCTGACAGAAGTGGTTAGGGGCAATCGGGAAGGCAGGCGAGCAGTTGGGAGCCAGCAGTCCTGGATTGTGAGAGGGATGTCCAACTGCCCATTTAGGCCCAGTGGGATCGGGTCTAAACAGACAGTTTAACATCCCTCGAGGGGTCCCAGATTGGAGAGGGTGCAGGCTGGGCTGAGGGACACTCACCATACCATGCAGGAATTTCGTGCACCGGGCCTCTAGTCTGTAAATATTTCATTATGTATTTCTAAACAGTAGACACTCTTTATTTAAACCATACATCACTCTTACCTTAATATATCCCTAAATCGTCTTTCCACTCAGCAGCTATTTCCCAGTTATCATATTATATAGACTATATATATTTTATTCATTTTCATATTATAAAAATATGTATTACTATTCTTAAGTCAGGATCCAAATAAAGTCCATCCATTGTGATTAGTTCACAGGTCCTTGAGTCTCTTAATCTGATTGTGTGTGTGTGTGTGTGTGTGTGTGTGTGTATTTCCTTGTAATTTTTTACTTGGAGAAACTGGGTCATATATTCCATAGAGGTCCGATGTGAATCATTTATGTGATTGTCTGTTTTCTGTGCTTTTTTTTATAAACTGGTAGATCTAAAAGCTTAATTTTTTTTTAATATATTTTATTGATTTTTACAGAGAGGAAGAGAGAGGGATAGAGAGTTAGAAACATCGTTGAAAGAGAATCATCAACCAGCTGCCTCTTGCACACCCCCTACTGGGGATATGCCCGCAGCCAAGGTACATGCCCTTGACCGGAATCAAACCTGGGACCTTTTCAGTCCGCAGGCTGACGCTCTATCCACTGAGCCAAACCGGTTTCGGCCAAAAGCTTAATTTTTATTTTTAGGTCTGGAGACTTATTTTTTTCTGTAGGTCCAGGGTCTTATGGAATTGACTCTTCATGATTGCAGTGGGCAGCACAAGTTACGTATTATGATTCATAATACGTAATATTATGAATATTACGTGCTGCCTAGTACAGGAGCTTCTCTGGTTATTTACTTTTAAATTACACTTTTCCAATTTAGTTGCTTGTTCACACCAGCTACATCTCACATGCTCAATAGCCACATGTGGTTAGCTGCTATCATACTGGCCAGCGTTGATATAGAGTATTTCTATCATGACAGAAAATTCTACTAGATAGTTCTGTTTTAGACTTAGGGAAATCCTGGAGACATAAATGAATTGAGTGAAAAATTTTTGGTGTTCAAATAGATTTTTATATGTTTTATAAGTTTTCTGATGTTTTATAACTCATATTTGTGTAGTGCTGCCTCTAATATAATAGATAACTGCCCTTTTAAATCTGAATGTTGCAGGACCATTCCTTTGTTGGTGAAAAATATAATTAGTGTGTTCCTAGACAATTTTATTATAGACTAGTAATGTCTCCCTTAGTGTATGTTGTATTTTATGTTGTTAATAAAAATATGTAGGCTCCATCGTATTCTGAAAGTATAAAGTAAGTGATAAACACAGGTAAGCCCAGACAGTGAGAGGAAAGCTGGTGATGGTTGCTAGTGTAAAGTGGTCAGAACCACACATAAAAATTATCTGTTAAGTTTCTATTATATAACATTGTTATGACATGAAATCCTAGAGTGGAGTTTTGCATCACAAAAAATAAGTCAGCAGAGGGAGCCAAAAATGTTGACTCTCTAAAATACTATTAATACTGGAAGTAAATGTGATAGCAAACTAAAAGAGGAATTCCCTAACTTTGTAAGGTGTTATGAAGAAAATGCTTTTATCAGCTCTACTGCCTATAAATATTAACCTAATGGCTGACCTACATACCTTCCTGTTAAAGAAGTCATGTACCATTTTATTTTATCAATTTGCTCTGAAAATATTTTGCTTTAAGTAATCGATCTCTGCTTAACCTTTTACAGCGGAAGTTCAGAGTGAAATAGAAAGGATTTTTGAACTTGCAAGAACATTGCAACTGGTAGTTCTTGATGCAGACACTATTAATCATCCAGCTCAACTCAGTAAAACCTCTTTGGCCCCTATTATAGTTTATGTAAAGATTTCTTCTCCTAAGGTAAGTGGGCTTGCTGTTTGTTCTATAATCCAAGTTTGCCAAAACGTTTATGTTATTTTGCAGTTACAACAGGTTACATCTTTATCCATCATAGAGAGTTTGAAGAGATGTTTGTCAATTTTTAAGATTCATAAGAAGCCAAGCATGATTATTAGTTTCATGGCTTAGAACAGATGATTCTCAAAGTGTGGTAAAACCCTGGGGGTCTTAATACACTTTCAGAGAGTTCACAAGGTCAAAACTATTTCCATAATAATACTAAACACCATTCACCCTTTTTACACTTTTGATGATGGCGCAAAAGCAATAGTAGGTGAAACTGCATGTGTCTAAGCATGAATTAAAATTAGGGTACTAGACAATACTAGCAGTTAAAAAAAACAAAAACAAAATAACCAGTTTCACTTAATTTTATTAAATACTAGAGGCCCAGTGCATGAAATTTGTGCATGGGGGAAGAGGTTCCCCTCAGCAAAGCTTGCACCCTCTCAAATTGGGGACCCCTTGGGGATGTCTGACTGCCGATACCTGTGGGATTGGGCCTAAACTGGCAGTCAGACATCCTTCTCGCAATCTGGGACCACTGGCTCCTAACTACTCACCTGCCTGTCTGCCTGCCTGATCACTCCTAACTGCCTCTGCCTGCCTTCCTGATCACCCCTAACTGCTCTCCCCTGCTGGCCTAGTTTCCCCCAACTGCCCTCCTCTGCTGACCTTATCGCCTCCAACTGCCTCTGCCTCAGCCCCTATCACCATGGCTTTGTCCAGAAGGAAGTTGCACGTCCAGAGATGACCAGTTGCCCGAGTCTAATTAGCATATTATCCTTTTATTAGCATAGATATATTATATAGGATAGGATTGCTTAAAAAGGGGGGGGGGAAGCCTTTTTCAGCAGGAGGAGATGCTCTTGGCAGATAAAAATACATAATACATATATCTGGACTGATAGCCAGCCATATGCACTATATTGCCAAACAGGTTATTAAAAAATTGAACAGCTTTCTTACAACTTACACCAAACAGCTGTTGTCCTTAAAACCCCTCCTCAGCCCCAACGTTAGGTTCTGCCTTCACAGTTCGCCCAGATTAGGTCCTGACTGGTCAGTTTCTATGCCAGTCAGCATCAAAAGTTCCACCTCCTGGGCAGCCAATGACTCCTCACAGTCACCCAGATTTGTTTCTGATTGGTGAATTTCTATGCCAATCAGTGTCTCCAGGCCTATTTCTAGGCCTGATCTGTAGCTGCCATGGCAGCTGCATTTCAAGCCCTGCTTCTCTCTCCAGGCCTCACTAGCAGCCTCAGTGGCTGCTGATCAGGCCCCCTGCCTTTCTCTCCAGGCCTGATTCATAACTGACATGGCAGCGCATTCATTAGGCCTCCAGCCCAGCCCTGGCCAGAGGCTAAAGACCTTGATGTGCCTGCCTTGCCCCGCTCCCCGCTCCTCTGCCTGCCCACCAGCCTTGTTGTAATAAGAGGCTGTGGGCTGTGGGGGAGGGACCTAGAGGTGCTCCATGCACTTCCTGATGACCTGTTGCCTGTTGTCCGTCTGGTCTTTAGGCTGTGATGCCCCCTGGCCTTTTATAATGTAGATTATGAGTAATGAAATAGGAAGTACACAAGAACTGCATATAGCCAAGTAGGTTAGTTATCTCAAGGACCTGCATTGGTATCATTATTTGATTTGTGAACTAACTAGCCACTTTATTCATAGCATACCATTTTTATATGAAAGAAAAACTGATAGGTTATGCTTACTCAGACTTGGGTATCACATCAAAGAAAACAGCTAATAGCCTTTGTTACCAATGATAAAACTGAAGGTTTCAAAGAAAATGCTGAGTTTTGGAAAACTTGTATCCACTTTTGAGAGCTTGGCAGCTTCCTAATAGACAAAGACTTTTCTAATGAGATCAATAATAATTAACGGATAGGTTTTAATCTTGTATAATGAATTGTGTCAACATTTGGAAGATCTGAAGAACTCAGTGAACCATTATTTTCCAAATGATCAATGAATGATGCTACAAACTATGCATGCTAAAGACCCATTCAAATTCCAAGATAGGCCAATGGAATTTATGTAACAGAGTAAGAAAAGTTCGTTGATATTGTTTCATGTTTCACATAGCAGCTAATCTCTAAGAAACTAGTGTTTCCACACTATAGGGAATATCCATAATTATATCAACTACATATTTTTAGGAGGAAGGGAATCCTTCACACATATGCTCAGACTGGTAGGTTAGCTTCTTGCTGGAGTCTGGCTGATGGGAACTGGGTGAGACAGGCCAGACACGCCCTGGAGTCCTCCCGCAGTCCCTCCCTGGCCCCCATCATACACTAGTGGGGTCCGGAGATCTGGCCTGTGCCCTCTTTCAATCCAGGACCCCATGGAGGAATCCACAGGCCAGGCCAAGGGACCTCACTGGTACACAAATCTGTGCACCAGGCCTTTAGTAGGTCGCATAAAGAAATACTTTTTGGCCCTAGCCAGTTTGGCTCAGTGGATAGAGCTTCAGCCTGTGGACTGAAGGTTCCCGAGTTCGATTCCTATTAAGGGCATATGCTTGGGTTATGGGCTCAGTCCTCAGCAGGGGGTATGCAGAAAGCAGCCCATCAATGATTGTCTCATCATTGATGTTTCTCTCTCTCCCTCTCCCTTCCTCTTTGAAGTCAATAAAAAAGTATACTTTTTGGGTATCTCAAGAACTGTTTAAAACAAAGTGCAGGTAATCTTCATAGCTCAATTTATTATAAGCCACTTGCACTGTATATAAGTTTCCAGAGAAAGGAGTGGTGAATCTTGTCATGGATCTGAGTGCAAATAGCCCTCTGTTTAAAAATCTTATCTTTTACAGGTTTTACAAAGGTTAATAAAATCTCGAGGAAAATCTCAAGCTAAACACCTCAATGTTCAGATGGTTGCAGCTGATAAACTGTCTCAGTGTCCTCCAGTAAGTCCTCTTTATATACACTGTAATCCAGATGAAGAGATCAGATCTGGCATTACATTAAAAAACAAAAAGCAGACAGTTACATGCCTGTTGGGGGAAAGAATCCTCACCACTTAGCAGTGAGCATCATTCTAAAGAAGTGAACTGTCCTACTTCCTGCCGTGAACACTTGCCCCGATCATGGCTTACAAAACGCTATGGCAAGTTCTGTGGTCACCTCACTTTGTAAATAACACCTCATTTGTATCTTAAATGAACAAGATGTTGACTTCAAAAACTTGGTCCATAAGATTACCTATTTGGGGTTAACCCTACTAACTATAGAGATTGACTTGCTGCCTCTTCAATAGCTCTCTGAAATATTGATTTAAGACTGTGTAAAAACAAATGTCTAAACAGTCACCCAGATTCTGACATCTGAATACAGTCTATTTCTAATTCATGCTTTACATACCCTGCCAGGGATTTACAGATGGCTTTTAGGTTGTTTTTTAAGTGCAAGTATTTCAGAAGCTCCAAAAATCAGGACTATATCCATTTTGATTGCTTGGAGTATGTTAAAATTTATGATAACCGATTTTTGAAGATTGGGCCATGTCAAATCATCAGTGGTTTCAGTTTCTTCTGCCAAACTTCATGTCCTTATCTTTCCTCATTAATTTTCAGGGTTAAACTTTTCAGTCTATGTCAAACAGGTTTCTTCTTGTACTATTCAGATTGTATTATTTTCTTTTTATATCTCTTTCTACCATATTATCAATTCCTGTTTTTACTACTGACAATTTTTCCATCGTGCCCTTTAACAACTACTATTACACCTGTTCACTTCCTGGTCATTGCTGCTGGTTAAGCATCCAATATTCTAAAATGAAATAATCTGACTAAACAGGACAGTCAGCAGATGGAAAAGGGAAAGGAGCACATAAGCCACAGCACATACAAAGCAGTGCAGCTCATGAGCCCCTCCCTCCTTCTATGAGGCTGGGGTAGGGTTGTGAAACTCAAGTCAGTCCTGGGCTGGTATGAGTGTGCTCTCTGACATGTTTGCCTCTGCAGGAGTTGTTTGATGTGATCTTGGATGAGAACCAGCTTGAGGATGCTTGTGAGCACCTTGCCGACTACCTGGAGGCCTACTGGAAGGCGACCCACCCTCCCAGCAGCAGTCTCCCCAACCCTCTCCTTAGCCGCACTTTAGCCACCTCAGCGCTGCCCGTGAGTCCCACTGCAGCCTCTCATTCACAGGTGAGAGGACTTCTTCGCCGTGTTCGTTGAGAAGCCAGGCTGCCTAAGGTCGCAGTGCTGGGGTCCAAGCCCAGATACCCAGGGCAGGGCTTGTGCCAGTAGGGTGGCTCTATCCAAACTGAGACACTGAGTCATTTAGACATCTGCAGTGTAAGTGGTGTAGCTAAGAAAAGCAGGTCAAATGCAATATACTATGAAGATATACAGACTTTAGAACTCTCTGCTGCATCTTAGGACAGGGAAGGAAGAACTTTCTATACAGCAGCAAAGACAGTGGAAGCAGAATGCCAGCTGCAAGGCTGGGCTCCACCTCTTACCAAGCACATAACCGTGAATAAATTCTTTATCTGTTGTTGTTGTGTTTTTTTTTCCTGAGATGCCTCTGGAATTATTGGCAACCTATCCCAGGGTTATTGCATTAATTATTAATTAATGGGGCTGCTAAAACTGCTTGTCTCATAGTTCGTGACATTTAAGCATTTCATATTTTATTTCCTTAATCCTTACCTTAAGCCAAAGCCAACATCCTAAAGCATTTTAATCTTCCTGCATGTATTCAGACCGGGTAGTTAAGTATACACCCATGTGTAGAAAAATCTTAGGTACCTATATCTGTATTTAAACCGCAAAAGAACATATAAAATGCCCTCCCTCGTTTAATCATTTAAATAAAAATATTACTCTGTGTACTGTTCTAGACACTTACAAATTGACAAAGTCCAGTATGATATAGTACAAACCTTATAAATGCCACTAGACATCATTAAAAGAATTAGGTAACTTAGCAAGGGGAGATTTCATTTCAGCATTGTAGATCCTTAAAAGCAACTAAACCTGAACAGACCTGCTTTGTGATGCCTTAGTCCCTCACACTCTGACCAAGGCTGATGCCTGTGTTTTCTCCCTTCGACACCAGGGTTCTCAAGGCGATCAGAGGACTGACCGCTCTGCTCTCGCCCGCTCTGCCCCCAACGCTGAAGAAGAACCTTGCCTGGAACCAGCCAGGAAATCCCAGCACCGGCCTTCCTCCTCAGCCCCGCACCACAACCATCGTAGTGGGACAAATCGAGGCCTGTCCAGGCAGGAGACATTTGACTCAGAAACCCTGGAGAGTCGAGACTCTGCCTACGTGGAGCCAAAGGAAGATTACTCCCATGAGCATGTGGACCATTATGCCCTACACCGAGACCACAACCACAGGGAGGAGCCCCATGGGAGTGGTGAGCACAGGCACAGGGAGTCTCGGCACCGGGCCAGGGACCTGGATCGAGAGCAGGACCACAACGAATGCAACAAACAACGAAGTCGTCATAAATCCAAGGATCGCTACTGTGACAAGGATGGAGAAGGAATATCCAAAAGAAGGAATGAGGCTGGGGAGTGGAACAGGGATGTTTACATCCGCCAATAACTTTGGTCTGTTTGTGTTTTTGGATTTTTTTAAGTCTTGTATAACAACACCCTCAATCTAAATCTTTGGGGTCGACATTGCAATCATATGTGATCTGTCGTGTATATTTTGTATTGCTGTTGCTTAAATAGCAATAGTATGACAGAGTATTAATATACTTTTTTTTCTTTTCTAAGTGCTATATAAATTTGCCTGGTACGGCTGCAGTCCTCTGGTTGTGTACTGGACTTTTCAAAAACTGTTTGGGGTAGCTGCCACTTGAACAAATTGTTGCCATCCAGGGGACATTAGTATTTTAAGAAATGTGGTGGATGTTTTAAAAAATATAGTTGACATCTCCAGCAAGCCAGAATTGGCTCAGATAAAAAGTGGAATATCTTGATTCTCCAGATTTTTAAAATGTAGGCACCTGATATGTATATTCATTCATCCATGGACCACTGTTTCTTGCTTGTACCTCTGGCTGACTAAATTTGGGGACAGATTCAGTCTTGCCTTATACAAAGGGGATCATAAAGTTAGAATATATTTTCTATGTACTAGTACTGTGTACTGTATAGACAGTTTGTAAATGTTATTTCTGCAAACACCTTCTTATAATTATATATAAATATATATATATATCAGTTTGATCACACTATTTTAGTCTTAATGCCAAGTCAGCAGATTTGCTTTATGAAGTACAGGGACTAGAATTGCCCACATTCAGGAAATTTGTAATAACATTGTGTAGGCACCTATTTCCATTCTAGCAGAAAGTTTGTACATATTGTAAATATGTGTGATTGCTTGACTTGAAAAGATTTAATTTCTGAATGTTTTACCATCCCTGTAAGTTTATAATTTTGACCATAAATTATGATAAATATAATCAAACTCCAAAGGTTGTTCTAATCCATGCAGCTCACACTGATTGTGACACACATTCTTAGTAGCTAGTGTCTCATGTCACTGCACTGGAGTCTACAAGCCAGAACTCTGTATGCACGTGTGTGTGCGTCTGTGTGTAAGAGTATGTGCGAGTGGTTAGTTGAGATGAATCTGAATGCAGAAGACTAATAAGGAAACTAGAGACTGGTATCTAGAATCCTACCCACCTGGCTTTGAGCTGAATTGTGCTGCATGACGCTGTAATGATCCGTTGAGCAGGCAGGGAGCATGCTGCCAAAGGTGACTGGGAAAGCGTTCTGTTGGCTCCTTGTTTTTGCTCCTATAGAGCAAAAAATACAGGCAATTTTTAACTGTGAGTGTTTCACTGGAAATATACAATCTTTGTGTGTTCGAGTATTTGTTATAGTAAGAAACGTTTACACAGCTTATAGAATTATTTCATGGGAAAATAAATTTTTCTAACTTCTCCCACTTTCTTTCCTAACCCTGCTTATTGTTCTGTTATCTCCCAATATACCTATCATTCCATCCCCACCACAAACTCAAAGAGTTTCACTGTCTGTCAAAACCTAGAAGTGCTTCTTATAACCAAAGTTTCTGCTCTTCAGAAGTAATCAGGGCAAATGGGGTGACTTGAAGTGAACAAAACGGTCAGAGCATTTTCCTACATCAGACATCTATGAAGGGGAAACTAGAAGATATTATCTCAATGATGCTGTTGTGAGCAACTCACAATGTGGTTGTCATGTTAAGGCTAAACCTCTATGTCTCCTAAGTGTCATTTTGTCCAGTTATGACTGGATCATGAAATAGTATTTGGTGTACCTGAAATCTGTCCCTGGAGAATGCTTCTCTATAATTGCCTGACTGCAGATTTGTACATTATATAATTATGATTTGTTAAGTAAGTTAATCTATTTTTGTTTTGCTTTTTTTTATTATTTCAGGTTCTTGCCAAATATTACTGGACCTTTATAAATAAAATGTTTCACATTTAACTCCTTACTTTCCTACTCCCAAAGAAACTCAATTTTAAAAATGAGTTACATATATAGTGTTTTATCAGCTAATATGAAACATTTCCCTCCGAATCAGTGTATTGTTAATAAGCTCCATACTGTTGCAATGAATTTATTGACTACAAAAACTGTAGTCATAATATATAAATTGATGCAAAGTAGTCACATCATTGGAAAACCAAATTTCAATTAAAATACTTTTATAAAATATTTCTGATAAACTTTCCATCATGGTAAGATGCTGCTGATCACCAGCCTCATTCTTTGCTACACATAATTTCATCCCAATAATAACTTTAGAACATTTAAATTCTTGAAGTATAACTAGTATGTATCTAACCTGCTGCTACCATTAATCCCTTTCAAAAGTCCTGCTAATGGATTCCATTTTTAAAATTCTATACCTGGATTCTTAGGGTTTTTTTCTTAACTTTATTGTGTAATATGTTAGTCCAAATCAGAGTATTTCTCAAAAACTATATTGCAGAATTTGAGATAAGAGTATCTATACATGAAAGCTATATAGTGAACATATTTGTAAACAGTCTGTACTAAATTTGTAAATGAAGAAATAATCCCAGATAATGGGATATTTACTGACTTGTGGAATATAAAATTATAGTCTTCACAGAGCAAAAGCTTAACCTTAACTTAGTTGTAGAATCATGATTTTTGTAGTCTACTAGAAAACTACCTAGAAAAGCTGGAAATGTTCTTAATAGTTCTACTCTGTTTTTTGTCAAACCCATTTCAGTTTTACTATGTTCTTTCTCTACTGCTCGTTTAAGTTACTATTACAAAAAGGTGCTGCTAAAATGTAGGGTGTCTTAGTCATAATGTATTTTGGGACAATGCCACATTTTTAACACAGTCTGCTCTGCATTCCTGTTAAACATTTGCTGTCAGCTACACTGACGAACTGTTCAACAAACCTGATTTAAAGAAATTTATCTAAAACAAAGAGCTGGCTTCTGCACTGTTTATTATTAGTAGCATCAATTATGATTTGAGGAATGATTCTGACAGTTGAGAATATATTAAATATTCAACAATTTCCACTTGTGGAGCATTTTCCTTGGGACAATGCCAATCACTGGTATTACTTTAGTGACCTTCCCCTGATATCTGACAAAATAATAGCTTAAGGTAGGTAAAGGATCTTTTAAGATATGAGCACAGTAAAATAATTCTCCTTAGTAATTAATAATAATTCTCCTCCACCTTTATTCTACATGTGTAGCAATTCAGACTTTGAATTTTACTATTCCTTCATTTTTAAATAAAGATCCATTTTGATGACAAATTTAATTCCTCCTCCTTGCTCAATGAGGTAATGCTGCTAGTCTCAGATATTCTGATCTTACTGAAACTTTAAGTCACACTGTTAGAGAAAAAAGATTACAAGGTTTTGGATCAGTTGATTCATTCAAGCTAAATTATATTTTTAACTACTTGTATTTCTCTTTGCTGTTTAAACTAAAATGTGATAGAGAGTTTTGAAGTAAAATGTACTCACTGTTGAATTAAATGCTTTTTCTGTTTTACAGTTATGTCAACACTAAGTAGGTTGAAAGATAATATATCAATTCCACATTTTCCTGATCTTTTCCCTTTTGATTGTATTTATTTGTCCTTTTAAGACTGAATGTGTTTCATTTTTCAATTTGCTTTATTTTTTTGAAGGAAAGAAACCACTGAAAATGTATATGTTAAAGGAAATACTTTTAAGAATTTAACTTATTTGTCCTGTTTTCAATATGCAAATATTTTTCTTCTATTTTGCCCACTCTGCTTATATTTTGCTATTTATCAGTATTAATCAAAATTTATACATTTGCTGCTATTTTCATCCCAGCTTAACACATAAGGCTTGGTAGAGAACATGAGAGAAAATGATTTTGTGGATTAAAACAAAATATATTTAAAATTTGGAGAGGTGTACTGATTCCTAGAAACAGAAGGGCCACAGGTAAACACTATTTCTCTTTAATCAAATGGCATCTATTAGATATAAGACATACTGAAGGATATAAACAAGTCAGATATTTGAATCTTTGGAGCTTGAAATATTTTTCCCCTTAGTCAATAAGCATCTGTTGGCAACCTGCTAGGAGGCAGTGACAGAAAACACAGGGTCCCTGCCTCCAAAGTCTCCCCAAGTCTGAAGCTAGTACTGAGGAACATGCCTAGAAAGCTAAGTGCCACAACAGCAGTAAATATGGGCCCTAGGTGTATAAAAAGACAAATGACTACCTCAAACTCAGGGAAGGGTATTCAAGAAAGGCTTCTTCAGAAATGAGGCCAATGAAAGGTCTTACCTGATCCAGGAGGCCTTGCAATCTCGATGGGTATAATAGTTAAGAGACATTCCTAGCAGAAACCTATGGAGGGGAGAAAGAAACTATAAGTAATTGTTTCCAACTCTCCACTTACATGCCCAAGGCTCAGGAATTTGGGGATGATTTGATAAGTGTTAACAAAAACATGTATATGACAGCTTTTAACTAGGGCTGAATGCTTAAATATATCTCATCTAAAAAAAAAAAAAAAAAAAAAAACATGTTAAGATGAAGCAAGAATAAGTTTATCATTAAATTTTTTTAAGCAGTCACATACATTGGCCACTATAGGGGATGATCAATTTTGCAGTTTAGATCAGTGGTCGTCAACCTTTCGGACCTCATGGTCCAGCCGTGGTCTATGGCACTGGTTGGTGACTGCTGGTTTAGATGATGTTCTTGCTTTTACCTAAATTCAGATTTGATTTTGAAGTGGTCTTTTTGTATCTTGATGTGTCATAGTCATAATAGCCTTACCTGATGTTGGTGTTCTGGGAAATTATGTCCAGTAGGAGAACACCAAGGCCTTCCTGTAAATGCCAGGCCAGTTCCTAGTTGTCAGAAGTTGGCTTTCTCTTCCTCACCAATCACGTCTTCATTAACTATTAGGTCTAGTAATAATTAATGTCGTTTTCTAATACCTTTTTTTAAATCGAATTTATTTAAACAATACAACAAAATTTAATCAACAATATAGTTGCCGTTGTTTTCTACTACTTGTGCCCAACGCTCAGGAAGCATTTTAATCCCTCTGTTGTAAAATTCTTGTGATTTTGATGCAAAAAGTTCGGTCAATGCATTTTTGAGGCATTCTTCATTATTAAATTTTTTTCCAAGAAGAAAGTTTTGCAAAGAACGAAACAAATGGTAATCAGAAGGGGCAATATCAGGAGAATATGCAGGTTGAGGGAGAACGTCCCATTCCAACTGGTGCAGTTTTTCAGCAGTGATTCTTGCAGTATGCGGTCGTGCGTTATCGTGGTGAAGAATTACGCCCTTCCGATTAACCAGCGCGGGTTCTTTTTCTCTTAAAGCTTGGGCTAACCTTTCCAATTGGGCACTATACACTGCACTTGTAATGGTTTGGTTAGATGGTAAAAGTTCATAATGAAGAATTCCTTTAAAATTCCACCAAACACACAACATCACTTTTTTCGCATGCAAGTCAGGTTTTGGCCTGGGCTGCGGAGCCTCCTTTTTGTCCAACCATTGAGGCCGCCTTTTCAAATTAACATCCAGCACCCATTTTTCATCTCCGGTAACAATTTGCTCTAAAAACGGCAAACGGTTTTGACGAGAGAGGAGCGAACTGCAAATTGTGACTCTTTGATTACGGTTGTTGTCGGTCAACTCATGAGGAACCCATTTTCCAAACTTTTGGACTTTGCCAAGTGCACGCAATTGATTGGAAATTGTTTTTTGTGAACAATTTAAAGTTGTCACAAGCTCTTGTTGGGTAATTTGAGGATTTTGCGCCAAAAGAGCTTGAAGAGCTTCTTGATCAAAATTGGTCACACGGCCTCGACCACTCTTGTCATCTAACGAAAAATTTCCCTCGCGAAATTTCTCAAACCAAGGCTGACATTTTCTGGCGCTAACTGCATCTTGACCAAGAGCACTACAGATGTTTTTTGCAGTCTCACTTGCTTTTCTTCCTAATTGGAACTCGTAAAGCATGCAGTGCCGAATATGCTCTTCATCCGCCATCTTCTTAGCCCTAGTTTTGCAACAAAAACCAAACCAAACACAAACTTTTTCAAGCAAAACTTGTTAATTGCACTTCACACGTTCTGTAGATACCACGTGTTTGAAGGTTATGTCAATACAAGTCAACGCCAAGCAAGATTTTAAACGAATGTTAAAAACGACATTAATTATTACTAGACCCGATATTACAGCATGTGTTTCAACAAATTATAAAAGGTACTGACATTGCGGAATATTCTCATTTTTTTAACCTACAAAGTGAAGAAAAAATTCATTTGACTTTTTAGTTTAAATAATGGGGGAGGGCAAAAAGTAAACAGTAAAAGCAAACTCTTACATACAAGACATCCAGACTTTATTTGGTGAAAGAGGGTTTATTTATCAATTAGTAAGCAGAGAAATAGGTAAAATATTTAGCTCAGTCATTAGCACATGGTAAATGTCATACCTCCTATGCCCTGAATTCTTAAGAAACTACTTAATTAGGAACTCAGGAATAAAAAATAATATACTTTATAACCAAATTAAAAATTGCTAATTTTTTTTCCTTGTTAGATTCATTGATTGCCATTAAAAATGAAAACATATGACTCCAAATAAATATGTTTCAGACATCTATAGGCATCACCTTTTCTTTATACTCTGCTAAATCCAAAAGGGAAGATTTCTCTCAAATTACAAAATATAATCTCATATCTCTCTCTTTCCCCAACCCTTTATTTCCTCCGTGTCTCTTGATCACTGGTGAAACAGCTGGCAGCCTTTTCTGTTTCCTTAGCAACCACATCATCAACCACTTGGCCCAACAATAAATTGGTCTTTAAATTAAAACACACAAACAACAGAGCAAATGTTTGGAATTTTCATTTCTAAAGATCCTTCTCCTCCATACTTTTGCATTTTATAAATTTTGCAATGAAAAAACCTATACAATCCTTATTTGCCAGCCAAATCATGTCTTCTACTCTGGCTTCTTTGAGAGAATCAATGTCCATGTCCTGTAATGGCACAACAGATGGATCAAATCGTTGCAGCTGTTTCAATTGTTCAAACGACAAGCCAGCTCCCAGCATTCCTTGTCCTCCAATGTGTGGTTCCTATTTGGAGGAAATAAATAAAAATATACATGAACACTCTACAATTAGCAAGTATAGGTATCTGTGCACAATTTAAAAGACAAATTCAGTTGTATTATCACATGTTCCTAAAATATAAAATTGAGTAAAAACATTTTATTTTTGTAGAATATACTGTTTTTCCAGGTAGTGAAATGGGGAAGCATATGGTTGCATGAAGAATAAATATTAAAACTTTGCTTATCAGACATCATGACATCTCAAAGGATCTGAGCTTCACAGTTACAAATACAAATGATAGCGCTGCCACATTTTAGCTATGTGACCTTAAGCAAGTAACTTTACCTAATCGTTCCCTCATCTTATAAAACATAAAATATTCAGATACTCAGAGGCTTAAATAAAGAAGGTGCTATCATCCCTGACATGTAGTGGCATATAGTGGCTGTCACATAGAGGTATATGGTCCTTAATAAATAAAACATTATATATAAAAATTTGTGCACGGGGGTGGGAGGGGTGTCCCTCAGCCTAGCCTGCACCCTCTCCAAACTGGAACATCCCTCTTACAACCTAGGACTGCTAGCTCCCATCTGCTCGCCTGCCTGCATTCCTGATTGCCCCTAACAGCTTCTGCCTGCCAGCCTGACTGATGCCTAACTGCTCCCTTGCCCACCTGATTGCCCCCAACTTCCCTCCTCTGCCGGCCTGGTTACCCCTAACTGCCCTCCCCTGCAGGGTTGATCACCCCCAACTGCCCTCCCTTGCAGGCCTGGTCCCTCCCATCTGCCCTTGCCTGCTGGCCATCTTGTGGTGGCCATCTTGTGTCCACATGGGGGCAGGATCTTTGAAGACATGAGGGCAGCTATCTTGTGTGTTGGAGCGATGGTCAATCTGCAGATAGGATAGAGGCCTGGTGCATTGGTGGGGTTAGCTGGTTTGCCCTGAAGAGTGTCCTGGATCAGGGTGGAGATTCTCTTGGGGGGTGGGGCAGCCTGGGTGAGAGGCCTGTGGTGGTTTGCAGGCTGGCCACACACACACACACACACACACACACACACCCCTCCCCCCCTCCCCCCTCCCCCCCCCCCCCCCCCGCAACCCAAGCAGAGGCCCTGGTATCTGAATTTATTTACCTTCTGAAATTGAAACTTTGTAGCCTGGAACGGAGTCAAGCCTTCTGCTTGCTCCCTGGCTGCCACTATTTCTGTTTGGATTTGTTTACCTTCTATAATTGAAACTTTGTAGCCTTGAGGCTTAAGCTAGCTAGGGTAGGCAGAAAGCTTGGCTTCTTCCATTGCCTGGGAAACCCAAGCCTCCCTCCTGCTCTCTGAGGTCACAGCCATCTTGGCTGGGGTTAATTTGCATACTTGCTCTGATTGGCTGGTGGTTTTGGCTTATGGGTGTAGCGAAGGTATGGTCAATTTGCATATTACTCTTTTAATAGATAAGAAAAGTCAAGTGACCAGAAAACCAGAATGACTGGAACAACCGCAACAACCAGAAAGACCAGTTGCTATGACAGGTACTGCGGCCGGCCAATCAGCCTGATTGGGGGATGGCCCCTCCCCCTGGCCGGCCACACCTTTGATCCTCCCCCCTCCCCCTGATCAGGGGTGTGGCTGAACAGCCAGCCTCCCGTGTCCTCTCCCCCAGGCAGGCCTGGCCTGATTGTCCCCCATGAGAGCGGGCCAGCCAAACCTCACCCATGCCCAAATTTGTGCACCAGGCCTCTAGTTATCAATCACAGCAATAGATAAAATTCAGCTTTATGTATGAGACTTCCCCAAACTGAGTTCCTAAAGATACCTCTCTCTGACCCATTCCAACTGGATAAGTTTTTGCTGTTTTTAAATGCACTAGAATAGGGGGCGGAGCTTGAAGATGGCGACCGAACAGTCGGACCTGTTCTGACTCTGGTCCCAGAACGGATAAAGGGGGCTTCTGAGTCACTCAGGGAGAGTTGATTGGCAGCTAAGGGACAGCGGAGCTCTCAAGGAGGGTAAGGGAGGGTCCGCTGGACAGGATTTCCTGACCAAGCTGCCAGGACGGCCGCAGCAGCAGCAGCAGTGGCGGCGGCGGGGGCGGCGGAGGCAGCGAGCGGTGGGCTGCGGGCGTGGAGGAAGGGCTGCATCGTCTTCCCAGGAAGGAAAGAGCTTCTCTGAGGCGTGGAAAACGCACAGCCCGGAGGTCCATCGAGCAGCTGAGACTCCCAGAGCTGCGCAGACACGTGGATTCCGGGGAGATCTTCAGTCACCCACTGAAAGGTCAGAGTTTGCGGGGACAGCCTAAGGGATCTGGGTTCTGCGGCGGCGAGCTCCGGCCCCGCCTCCACTACGGCAGCCGGGGAGCTCTGGCCCCGCCTCCGCTACGGTAGCCTGGGAGCTCCAGCCCTGCCTCCACGGTAGACGGGTGCGCAAACTACCGCCCACTGAGGCGGAGCGGAGCCCAAAGAAGGCTGCAGCGACACCTAGTGCTGGGTTTGAAGTAATCCCCCCCAGAAGAGGGGCTTTTTTTAAACGCCAGGGGACAAGGGACAGTGTGTTAAGAATCGCGGCTGTCCCGCCAAGGGCGGAACATCTGGACACCTTGGCACTGGTTCCCATTCATCCCCTTGCTTCTGAATACTAGAGAAGAACTGCCCAGTTGGGCATAGCCGGGGAAATTGTAGGGGGAATTTGCCTTCTGGAAACAAGGGATTGGAGCCAGAAGACATAGTCCTGGAGCCAGCTAGAGCCATAGAGAAAGAAGGCCAGAGCAACCAAAAAGACTGGGAGGTCAAACCGGAAACACTGACACCTAAGAGCCGAATTACAAACTGCCTTTTTTTTTTTCTTTTCTTTTTCTTTTTTTTTCTTTTTCTTTTTTTTTTTTTTTCTCTCTTTTTTCTTTTTATTAATCAAAAATAAACGGACACAAATAACTAAGATATAACCTGCTTAAAATTAAGGTTTACCTTACAAAACTGAGGTGCAGTGGAATGCTGGGGACTGCAAGACTGTCTGGTCCGAGAATCAGGAGGGTCAAATACATTAACAGAGGAAGTGAATGACCACTACTGGACATTTTTATGCTAATTTTACTATTCTTTATTTTATTTTCATTTTTTACATCTTTTATTTAATTTTCACTTTTTATAGCATTTACTTAAGAAAAATTTTTTCTATTTTTTTCCTTACTTCATTTTACCTTTTCAATTATTACATTTTTCAATCTTTATCATCACTATTACTACTGCTATTTTGCAATTTTTGTTTCTTTCTTTTTTTTTTTTTTTTTGTTCTTTGTTTTTTCTTGTTTGTTTGTTTGTTTGTCTGTTTGTTTCCTCTCCAGTACCATTTTATTTTATTTTTTTTCTGTATTTTACACTGGGAATAACTTCCATTATATTTTAATCACTACTTTAGCATCATTCAACCCTATCTCAACTTGACCTTTACACCATCACTCTCTTACTAAACTTTACCCTTTTAGTCAACGGTTTATCCTATCCCTTTCCGGCTCTAGATTTTCCTCTATTCTTTCTGTATACCCCTTGCTAAAGCTCTCACTATACGTATAGACCTAAGTTCCAACCCCTGATCCAAGTGTATAAATACCAATTTCTGTACTATATTAACTAGTTAAAAAAAAAAAAAAAAAAAAAAAAAAAAAAAAAAAAAAAACTGTTCTCCCCTCTATCCTTTGCGCATTGTTTGTGTGAGGGTTGATTATTGTGAATTTTTATGCTTTTTAGTGAAATGGTTATGCTTATTCCTGTGTTGTTATTGTTGCATTGTATTTTTTTTAAATCCTCTGTTTTTGTTTGTTTCTATTACTTCTGTATATCATAGCCTTACTTAATAATAGTGGATATTGTAGTTTGTATTAATCTCCAAGTATTGTTACTGGCATTGGCTGGGTTCAGTAGTTGTTCCTTCTTTTTTTTTATTTTATTTTCTTAATTTTTTTTTTAATTTTAATTTTATAAAAAATTTTCTTTATTTTATTTTTACCTTTCTTCCTTCTTCCCTAACCCCTAAGTTGCCTTTCTCTAGTGGTCACCTTTATTTGAGGTTATTAATATTGTAAATACATTCCTGTTAAGTGCCTCTTGTGTTGTACCTGGTAGTGTTGTATATTGTACCTTTAAATCAACGCAGGAGAAGGAACACCACATAACCAGACACCCTGAAAAGAGAGGCTATGGGGAGACAAAAACATAGTCTGCACATAAAAGAAAAGCAGGCATCACCAGAAAAGGAAGTAGAGTCAGAGGCAACCAGTCTACCAGAGCAAGAATTCAGAATAATGATCATAGGATGGCTAAAAAGAATGGAAGAGAAATTTGACAATAACCAAGAAGAAATGAGGAAGAACCACGAGGAATTGAAGAAGAACCATGAGGAATTGAAGAAGAACCAAGAGGAAATGAAAAATGACATCGCTACCATGAAGAACTCAATAGAAAGCATCAAGAGTAGACTAGATGAAGCAGAGGACCGCATCAGTGAGCTAGAAGATAAGATGGAAAAATATACCCAAGTAGAGCAACTTCTAGAAAAAAAGATTAAAAAGCAGGAGGAGAGCCTACGGGAGCTTTGGGACAATACAAAACAAAACAATATTCGAATAATAGGGGTTCCAGAAGGAAAGGAAACTGAGGTAGACATGGAAAAAGAATTTCAAGAAATAATGACAGAAAACTTTCCTGAAATAGAGAAGAAAAAACCCACACAAATCCAAGATGCTCGCAGAGTCCCAAGCAAAATGAATCCCAGAAAACAGACTCCAAGGCATATTATAATTAAATTGGCAAACAACAACGACAAAGTAAGAATCTTAAAAGCAGCCAGAGAGAGACAGAAAGTTACATACAAAGGAACCCCCATCAGACTAGCAACTGATTTCTCAACGGAAACTTATCAGGCCAGAAGGGAATGGGATGAAATATACAAAGTCATGCAAAGAAAGGGTCTGAATCCAAGAATACTGTACCCAGCAAGGCTATCAATCAAAATTGAAGGGGAAATCAGGAGCTT